GAAGCGATGCTGAGCTGCAGCTGGCTAGGTGGTGAGGCTGGTATTCGACACCAGGTCTGTCTCACCTTTGACTCGATGTTCTTTACCCCTCCAGGAAGATGCCACTGCTGATTCAATTAATCAGTCAGTCATGTTATTAATACATACTTATACAAATTTTGTTCATTTTATGCAGTCTCACAGAGGTGAAGTTTACTTACTGGGAGGGAACCCAGAGATGGTCCCGAAGTGACTCGCTTCACGCTGCCCACGTCTGTGAGCCTGTGCTCATTGTCGTCCCACCTTCCATAGGCCAGGTCAATCCCTCCCACAAAGGCCACTGATTGGTCGATGATGACGAGCTTCTCATGATGAGCCCACAGATAGACGCTAGACGACACATGATCCGGGTGCCTCATCACCTTGAGAAGGAAAAAACTCCTGTAATATGCTTTTATTTTATTTATTTGTTTATTTGTTTTTTATGAATATCCCATATGACCTTGTTATGGACAGCGGAATCATCAGAAAACCGTCAGGGGCACAGTGGAAAGAGTCAGCTTCTACTAAGTCAAGTATCCCAAGAATGTAATATGTTTTTAAAAGGCCTTTCCTCTCATAATAACATGGGTCTGCTTTCTTCCTGAATGCATTTTCCACAAATCAAATATCAAAATGTGCAATGTATACACCAAAGAAAATCCCCCAAACTTCTAATTTTATTCTCAGTATTTAACACAGGAAGACTCCTGTTTACTTTTTAAGAACCCTGTCCAGACACCGTATTTGGGGGGTGGCCGCCACTTAGCTTGAAGTGTAGCTACACATTAGCTACAACTCAGCTCAATCTAATAGCTGGTTCCCTCTCATCCTATAAGGATTATGTTATATTTGGTATTTTTTAAAAAAACTTTAAAAATATTTAACCAAAATTTATCTCTAGGAAATTTTTAATGAATTATATTGATATTTTGGCAGCCACTGGGTTGAAATACTAAGCATAGAAATACAGGCATATAGATATTTTGGCAGCTCTCTATTTAAAAGGTACTTTTGAGAAGCTGATAACCTCCTGCATTTAAACAGAGTTCTCTAAATGACTCTAGTCTGACCTATCACATGCCTTTAACTAGAATGATTAGAAAAACTTTGGCAACTGCTTTTCAAAAAAAATAACACTTTTTAAAATTGTGGTAAAATACATATAACGTAAACTTACCACTTTATTTTTAAGAATACACTTAATGAGTTAGAGAGTCTTTCCTCCTCTTCAGTTTTTAAAGTTTCAGTTTCAGAACGATTGGTGTTAGTTCTCCTTTAAATGGTCAGTAGAATTAATTGATGAAACCATAAGGTACTGGACTTTTCTTTTATGGGAGATTTTTGATTACTTATCAATCTCCTTACTGGTTATAAGTCTATTTAGATTTTCTATTTCTTCATGGTTTAGTCTTGGTAGGTTTCATGTTTCTAGCTATTTGAATATCTCATCTAGGTTATCCAATTTGTTGGTGTACAATTGTTTATGGTAATCTCTTAGGATCCTCTTTATTTCTGTAGAATTGGTAGTAATTGTCCCCACTTTCATTCCTGATTTTAGTAAACCAAGTCTTTTGTTTTCTTAGTCCATCTAGCTAAAGGTTTGTCAATTGTTGATCTTTTCAAAGAAACAACTTTTGGTTTTATTGATTTTCTATTTCTCTATTTTGTTTACCTCTGCTCTAACCTTCATTTCCTTCCTTCTGCTAGTTTTGGGTTTAGCCTGTTCTTCTTTTTCTAGTTCCTTAAGTCGTAAAGTTATTTATACCTATAAATCTCCCCCTTTGCACTTCTTTTGCTGTGTGCTAAGTTTTGGCATGTTATTTCATTTTCGTTTGTCTCTAAGTATTTTCTATTTCCCTTGTGATTTCTCTTGGATCCATTGTTTAACAGTGTGTTATTTAATTTCCACAAATTTGTGAATTTTCTAGTTTTTTTTGTTATTGATTTTTAACTTCATCCTGTTGTGGTCAAACAGATGTTGTATGATATCTACCTTTTAATATCTATTAGAATTTATTTTACGGCCTAACAGATGGTCTTTCCTGGAAAACGTCCCATGTGAACTTGAGAAGAGTGTGTGTTCTGTTATCACTGGGGAGGGCACCCTGTGTGCATCCATTGGATCTGGTTTGTTTACTCTGTTGTTCAAATTCTCTATTTCCTTACTTATCTTCTAGCCATTATTGAGAGTGGGGTGTTGGCGTCTCCAACTGTTGCTGTAGAACTGGCTTTTTATCCCTTCAGTTCTGTCAGTTTTTGCTTCATGTATTTTGATGGTCTCTTATTAGGTACATAAATGTTTGTAATTTTGTGTCTTCTTGCTATATATAACCTTTTATTAATATATAATGTCCTTCTTTGTCTCTTGTAATCTTTTTTTGACTTAAAATCTACTTTGTCTGATATTAGTTTAGCTACCCCTACTCTCTTTTGGTTACTATTTGTATGGCATGCCCTTTCTGTCTTCATTTTCAACCTATTTGTGTCTTTGCATCT